CACTCTTTCACCCATTAAAACGTCACTCTTATAGCAAGGCCTGGTTATTTATTCACACTTATTCCCACTGTCCCTTCCACTTCCACAGCTGGTTGTTTATAAGCTGATTTCCTCCCAAATGAGTGGAAGCTCCAAAAAAAAGAAAAATAAAACAAAAAATCCCATGTACTATTGATCAGTGACTAACAGTATGTTCATATAGTATTCACTCAACAAAAAATTTACAGAGTGTTGGCTCTTGAATAAAATCAATACAGGCAATGGGGGTGTGTGTCAGAATTAATTTCTTTTCATAATAGTACAAGGTGATCAAGGAAAAAAGAGATGCCTACTTTCTAGAGTGTGGAAGCCAGTGTAAGTCTTGAAATTAGAGCTCATGTCATAAATTGTTAAAATTGTGAAGCATTAGGGTACATTAAATTATTTAAATCCTTTCATACAAAAGCTGTGAAACGAACAAAAACAAGCCTTTCATATACTTAAGGAAAAAAAACAAAATAAGGGGATCTGAGGAGAAAATGAAAGCAGGATTCCACCCCTGCTCACTAATTTTAAGGATTTCATTAATAACATGAGCCATTGATCCACATAAAAATATGAAAGTGATTTATATGCAGATCAGTAGAAAAACATTTTATCTTCATTCAAAATTGCAATATCAAGGACAGAATGCTAATCTCACAGGTTAGGTTATATTGTCAAACAAGGAAAGAAAATTTGATTTATTTCTAGATGCAGGAAAACAGGCAATAGCTTCAGATCTTCAACAGTAAACTAGGGCCACATTCATCCCTGTGCTAAAGTATATAAGAATGAAATAAAAATTGCCTAACTCTTGCCCTCTTTAGTTCTCCTTAAAGCAAGATTCTTGAAAATACCACTCAGGTAACAGACAAGCAGGAGCTGACAAGAGAGAGGGAAGCGGGTGCAGGTGGAGTTACACCAAGTATACATTGTGGGTTCTGTCTCTGGCTGCACAGCTTTGATAGCTTCTGCCTATCTCTTTCTGTATTAAAAAGAATCAATAAGATTCTTTTTAATGCAAGAACATTAAGGTTTATAATTCAACAAAGAAAATATCCAAAAACTACTTGTTTCCTTATCAATATTGAGTCCTTAAGAAGAAAACCTAGACTGATTTGGACGATGACTCTAAGTATAGATGTGAGAAACAATATGAGTAATAACTACTGTTTCGTAAGCCCTTCTCTGTGCCAAGAACCAGACTAAACCCTTTATAAACATTGTTGAACATACTCTTCATAAGAACTTTTACAGATTAGGTAGTAAAGGCCCAGAGATGTCAAAAACTCGCACAGGGTCATACAGTAGGTAAAGAGAGAGACTGGGTTCAGCTGATTTTAAATCCAGATCAATGGCTATATTATTTTAACATATCCTGCCACCTGGGTTTGGGGTTTGCACTGGTGTTATTACCAGTCTACTGTGTTGGCCACTTTTACATCTGGCTGATTGACTTTGGCCATTTAATTATCATCAGCACCTTTAGAAGAACATAGGATAAAAAAGAAGTTGACAATTGAAATTCAAGCTCTATGTAGTAAATAAAGAACCACTGTTTTTAAAAAAAGTTAGGATATATATGCCCTTATTGGTCTCCCATTCATTCTCCAAATAATCAAGAGTTTGTACTATCATAAATATTTGACTGGAATCCAAAACACTGTCTTCAGTGTGAGAACATCTATGAGGGCATGCCCAAGAGATGCCGAGTCTGGTCACCTACTTTTCCAGTAAGATGGGCGACTCTGCCTTCAAACTAGGGTTTCCTCCCCTGGAACATAAGCAACACCTGCAAGCATCACCCCGAAAGCTTGATTCACAGATACTTGACCTCTGGAAGGAGCCTGCTACCAGAGCCCTTTTGCTTAATTTGCTTGGTGACAGCTATTAGTTCACCAAACAGGACAAAACATCATACTTCAGTATGAAAAAGCTGGTGGGACCATTCAAGTCAGACTCTGTGTACTTGCTCTGCTCCTACAAGGCCCACTGCAGTACGGCGCCCCCACGGCTAGTGGCTACCACACGCACGCCTCACACAGTGCTCTACGCAACAGATTGCTTCTTTACTTGAAAAGCTGCTAATTCCCCTCCAAGTTCCCATCCTTCAGGCCATTTAAAAGTATCCTTTCTTCTCTACCTTTATTTATAAAGCGTACGGAAACCTGAGGAGCAGCTGATGACAGAGGAGACTTGAGGGAAAGAGCTCATCATGTCTGGCAAACCTGCCTGAACTCTGGACACAGGAAGGTTCCCCAAGCATGAGCCTGGTGTTCCTGACTGAGTATTCTCTGATGTAGCACCTCATGCAATCCAGTTTAACTTCTCTAGGACAATTATAATTTTATTCAGGCTGACACCTGTGACTAAAGTACAAATTAAGTTTGGACAATGTTGTAAAGATGATGGTTGGATTTTATTTATACTGAGCAATGGGGGATTAGTTGGGTGGGTGGGCACACAGAGTGAGAATGAAGGGCTCAGGTCACGCTCATGCGTTGCTCTGGAACCCTAGTGGCTGTCAGCTGCTGAGAGAGGCCACACTGGCCCATGCAGAGCTGTGGGTGGGGTAGCACCCACAGGTACCAGAAAAACCTTACTGCTTCAGATGACCCTGTAGGGGAGGATATTCATCCCTTGCCCCTGTCCATCTGAAGGAAGCACTCACTGTCTGAAGATCTTAGTATAAGTGAAGGAAAAAAAGTCACCTTTCTGATTAATGTGGGAAAGATGTTTACTGAATACGTACTAACCATTTACTGTGACAGGCACTTGCTGAGTGTGTTTACAACCTCGATGTTGTGATCACTAGGTCCTGTATGAGAGAAAATAATTTGCCCTGGTTCAAACATCTTGTAAGTGGCAGAAGCAGGATTCAAACCTAGCTTCTGCCTGATTTGGTTCCAAAGTCCTGCTCTTTTTAAACAGACAATTCATTAACCAAGCAGTATTCTTACAGTACTAGACTAGTTGAAAACTTAAAAGTATATTTATTCTTTTCATTTGGTTTTTAACTTCTGTTTCCCTTTTCAAAACACATTACTTTCCAAATTAATAGGAACATTGCTAGAAGAATAAGACGTGACAGGGTGTTTACTGTTACTGCTTCTTGGGTGGTTGTGGTGTGCGGCCCATGATTAAACCCACAGTGAAAGTATGGCAGAGGCCCAGCGTGACACATCCCAACATGTTTGATGGTTTGAAGGGGGAATTACCAAGGTTTTGCAAAACTTAAAAACCTTGTGCAAGACCTGGATAGTAAATATATATATATATTTTTATATATTTATATATACAACTGTTTTAAAGTGTCAAGTTCTGCCTAACATGCAATATTCACAAAATGGAATCATTCAAAATTCAGAAACCTGAAACAATAAACTCAGTTACTCCACTGCAGTGGTGTCAAAAACTAGAAATACAACTGCAAAACACTGTGAAATGTTAACCAATTATTTCTCCTAAGAGCTCTAGGAATATGAAGAAACAAACTGGAGATTAACTGAGTTTTTGGTAACTAGTGAATGTCAAGGGGAAAGGAGAAGGAAGAGAGTGATGAAGGGAGACTGAGACGGGCATTGAGAATGGAAACTTCTCGAGTGGGGAATGTCATGATAATTCTTGATGGAAAACCCAGGAAATAAAAGACTGATTTTCAGGGTGAGCTGGAATTAGAAATGGTGTTGTGTATGCTGTGTGAATATTCCTTAGAAGTTCTTAGAAGACAGACCTACATTTGTAAAATTGGTTTATATAAAAATTAGTTTAATGGTATATGTATGAAAATGGAAAAGGCTATGAAGATAATATGTGAGCACGTAGCAAGGATTTTATAACAGATTGGATCAGGTAGTTTCAGGCTCATATACCTATACAGACAAAGGCATTACTATTCTAAAATTTGCCTCTTTTGAATGTTACATAAAAGGTAGATACTCTAAGAAAATGCATTAAAAAACAGATTATAGGAGATAATAACCTCCCCAGCCCGGACGGGAAGCAGTGTGTGAATACTTCAGGAGCATATTGGCCCTGAGCACTGAGGCACTGTTCATACTTGTCTAATACAGATTTTCTGGGCACCACTAAGTCCAATGTGTTTTTTCAAATACTATTTTCTTAATGTTTTCTGTAGGCAAAAATATCAAAGAGAGGCAGAAAATGATCTCAGAAAAAAAGAAAACCCCAGGAAGAAAGCTGTCATGTTCTGTGTTTCAACTTCACAAAAGAATTCTGAGTAGAGGTGTGAGCCTTTCAAATTGCTTGTCACTCAGGATATGAAATTCTAATCTAGTGGCGCAGCCGGTCGAGTCTCAGACTTCATCAAATATGCTGACGAGCTAGAACAGGAGGAGGTTTACTTCCTTACTTCTGGTTTCCATCTTCAGTTGGCTCCTTTCTTGCGGACTATGACAGTCACTCGCCATGCAAGCTATGAAATTCCAAGATGGGCAGAAGCAGTGGGCACCTAACTGAGTTTATGAGATGAAAAGTGACATCACCCCACCATACCTCAGGGAATTGGTGAATTTTATATAAAGCCTATTTATAAACCACTGAAAGTGATACTTGCATTCATCTTGCTCTGTGACATCATTTCCTCATCAATAATTTAAGCCTAAGAAATAGATTAAAGGGACTCTGAAAGGACTTCTCACACATGGAAAAACAGAAACCAACTAAACCCTCCAAATATCAATTTGGTCCTCTTACCTTGTTCTTTGATCTGACGAATTTGCTTCACAGTTTCTTTTAAGATTGCACATTTGTCAGGTTTGAAGTTAAAGTTGTCTATATCGTTAAAATTTGCAAATATCAGCTCTGCAAGTTCTTCGATATATTTATTTTCCTGTTCACGATTGCGTTTCTCAGTGCTCCTCTTGGGGCTAAAAAAAAGAAACATGGTTTTATTACAAATTTGAGGAAGAGCTATTATGAAAAAGGTAAGCATGTTAAACAAGTTTTTTAATACAAAGACAGCCCACAGAAGTTACTTATGTAAACACAAGAGTACTCTGGGGGAAAAAAGCCTGAATTTGCTCTAAATGGTGCATGTTTTTTTAAAAAAATTAAACTTACCCCAGTTTATAATTACACATTTACTTTTGTGATCATTCATCCAATGTGCTTAATGTTTCCACGAACAAGGATCAGACAATTTGCTCATCCAGTACTTGATACAATGCTTGGCTATGAAATTTGTTGAGTAAATAAAGGAATGTTTTAAAAAAGTTAAGGGAGGTTACATTTATAAAAATTTTAAAGGTTATTTTAGATCAGTAAAAGAAGGAAGGGAAATTAACTTAATCTAGTTAATATAGGAATAAATTTCAATAATTTTTCGGGAAAGCATAAAAAAATAAGACAAATAAATCTACATAATTTCAGAGACTTCTTTAGGATGCTAGTAATCAAACCAAACAGCCTTTTTAGATAAGGCAAAAACAACAGTACCACTAGAAACAAAAGCGAAACTGACCCAGGGTACTTGTCAACTGTCTAAGCTGAATGACATGCAAAATATAAACAAACAGTCCCAGTTCAATTAAAGTTTTAAAAAGTTAAGGGAAGGGGGGGAATTGGCAAGATCTTCTCATTTGAATTTGATAAACAGCAAACTCAAGAGTTCCCTTTGATAATAAGAGTGGACCTTTATTTTCTCAAGTATAGTAGAGGAACCACTAAAAGACATTTGAACAATACAACACATAAACAAAGCAACTTTAATCTAGCAGCTTTCCATATTTTTATTTATTTATTTTAAAATATGTTTTTATTGATTTCTTTTTTTAGAGACAGAGAAAAGGAGAGACAGAAACATCAATGGGAGAAATATCGACTGGCTGCCTCTTGCACACCCCCTACTGGGGATTAAGCCTACAACCTGGGCATGTGCCCAACCGGGAATCGAACCGGTGACCTCTTGGTGCACGGGTTGATGCTCAACCACTGAGACACCCGGCCAGGCCAGCTTTCTGTATTTTTAACAAATTTGTATTATTAATTTGCAACAGATTTCCATATATTAGCTTTATTTTCACCAACTAATAAACCAAAGGTAGAATTCAATTTCTCCATTTTATAGTGGTTACATGATTTGTCCAAGATTACCCAGTGAGTTAATCGTAGAGCAAGGACCGGTATTTGGTTTCCTATCTCCTGTTTATTCCTAGCTTCTAGTTGATTAAGTACAGGGAAAGGGAAGGAGTGGTTGGAATCTGTGAAGGAACCAAGTTCCCTTCTGACCCCCACCCCCACCCCTGCCTCCCTCCATCA